ACTGATGTTGGCACCACCCACTCAATTAGCATACGCACACAGGCATAGATAAATGTAGAAATACAGAAATAAATATAAATAAATGTAGAAATACAGAAATAAATATATAAATAAATGTAGAAATACAGAAATAAATGCATGTAGAAATACAGAAATAAATGCATGTAGAAATGCATAAATAAATACAGAAATACAGAAATACAGAAATAAATACAGAAATACAGAAATAAATACAGAAATAGCCTTTTTATTACAAAAATATATTTAATTTTAATTTATTTCTGCATTAAATTATTTATTTCTGCATTTATTTATTTATTAATTTATAGATATGTCATTTTTGGTCCCTCATATAGGCTGGCCACAATAAAAGGCAACTCCAAAATGTGAAGTTCCATCACACAGCACAATGCCACCAAAGTGCTCACTAACAGATTTTGACAGATTTGTGAACAATATTTGAGAGAAATAGGCCTTTTGTGTACATAGAGAAAGTCTTACATCTTTGAGTTCAGCTCATGATGAATGAGGGCAAAAAGAAAAGTGTTGTGTTTATAATTTTGTTCAGTGTATGTTATCAGTACTGATAGAAGTAATCGTCAAATAAGATCAAAGATGTAATAAAGCAGAATGATCCTGTCCACTCCCCATGTGTCAGGTGCGGGCATAGTGACTGTGTGAGAGAGTGTAGAGCAGACTCAGTTTACCTTTCACTATGAAGTAGGTCCTTTTTGAACCAGTGGTTCCAAATCCCACACAGTCCTGTCAGAGGAACTCAAGTACCCTTCATCAACATCACTTTAAAAGTGTTTTGAAAAAAATCATACAAGATGTAGGGACCCTGGGACTGACCATGTTAAGGCTAGAGCTCTTTTTTTCCCAGATTGATTTCAGACAGAAAGATCTGAGCAAGTTTGCATTCTTGTCACTTACAGTGACTGAAGCTGGATGTCAAACTAAAATTAAATTGCTTTTCTTTCTGCTACAGCATACACATCTACTCTGTAAGCCACAGGTGCTGTGTACCTAGATGGATAACTTGTTTCCATACAGTTAATCAAAAGGCTTCATTTTAAACCATATTTGTGTAAAGCAGTAATGCCATTGTTGTATCATAGAGAGACAGTCACATTGAGCCAGACAGCAGCCTGCTACACATCACAACAACTGCAGACAACAACCCACATTATCTTTCCTGCTAAAGTTTGCTGCTGCTGCTGCTGCAGGACATTCACCAGCATGTTAACGTACCTGCAAACATCACCTTTGTCAGTTTAGAGGCTGCTGTGTTCCTTACTCTTCAATAGCACTAACAATACACTATCTGCTCATGGCTTGTGAGCTACAGCTCAAGTTTTTTTATTGCGTCTCTTGTTCCCCTGCTGGGGCTTAGCCTGCTGGCTGTTGTCAATCAAACAATGACACAACCCTCCAGTCACTGAGAGAAAAGGAGCATTTTCACCAGTGCAAGATGGCTAAATGTGATTTCAGCTAGAGTTAGCCATTTAACATTCTTTTAGCTAGCTTTTAGTTTTCTGTTTAACTACTTTGCCTGCTTGCTAACTAGTTCACCTGCACTCTCCAGAATTCCCCCAGGATACTGGTGCTACCCCCCCGTGTGATCCCCACTACTGATGATGATGAAGTCCAGCTGGTCAATAAAAACTTTAAACTAACTTCCACTTGATGCCAACTCTGTCTGTTGGGTGTCGGACTTGTTTGTTACTGATCAGGCTTTTTTCAGGTGAAGTGGAGCACCTCCACTATCAAATACTGCAGGAGACACCTCTCTCAGTGTTCAGGTGTTATGGCTGACTTTGCTGAGTTGGTTGGCGTGTACTATGCAGTGACTTTTTTAAAATAGTAAATGATACTTTTTATTTCTTGGTGATTATTTTGTTAGAGATACAAAATGAAGCAGATATGCTGAGTTGTCAATACCAAGGATGTATTATTTTTCATGGGTATTAGTTTAAACATTGTTCACGTGTGGAAATTACTCTTCGGCTTCACATCTAAACACTTCACAGACATACCAACTGGCCATATATTTACTATACACAAGGGCTAATCTCACACTAAACACAATAGCAATGTCATCCTGTGTGATTACAAGACTGCATAAGAGTGCATTTGAATTAAACAAAAAAGTGTGCTGTGTGTGTGAAATCGCAGTCTGCTCATTATCCACACCCACAGAGGGCTCTACAGTGTGACCATTTCACTTGCATGTGGCCCTAAAAATAGATAATTGCAAACTAGAAAAATGTTTCACCAGCACAGTGTGAGAGTAAAGACTACAACCTACAACAGAGCTGCGTTGTCAGCTGAAGTGGTGAGATAGAAGACAGTAGGGAGAAAACAAGCCTGGTTTGGCTAGCTTTCTATTAAGCTCTATTGGTGCCTTTGTTGAAACATGTTCAACTTTTCATAAAACTGCACTTGTCAACGTCACTTTTTGTGACCCAACCAATCACAGCCTGGATGGGACGGGACATAAAAATTTGAGACCAATGTAACCGGAATTAATATTTTACTAGTGGTAAGCTATGTATCAATATAGTAACATTATATCAATAATATATTACACTAACAGTATATTATTAAATTAACATTATGCTTTTTATTTAATGTTATAATATGATACTAACAGACTCATTTATACTAGTTCCTCCTCCGGGTTGTACATAGTGTCTCTTGCAGTGGACCACCTCTTTCAGAGAGCAACACGTTCCCCCTGTTTTACATCTTTTACTAAAGTTATTGTTGTAAATATTGTTCAGTAATCTTGTTCACGGCACAAAGTTGGTGCTGGTTGTGTGGGTGCTGCTGGTGTATCATGCATATGTCCCTGGACAAAACACAAATACAAAGATGTTTACAAGTGTTAACGCCATAATTTCGTTGTACTTGTTAAGCAAGTTTGCAAAAATGTCTATTTTTTTGTGATTTATTTTATTTGGTAAAATATTGAGTTATTTAAAAACATTATAGTACAATTTTTTGTCTCTCTTCTTATGCTCGTTTTGATTGCAATATGACTTTTTCTTCATTTTGGAAGAAATAAGAGCATGTAACATCTTTGGTTTATTTCATCAAAGGAAATCTAAATTTACATGGTAAAATAACAGATAAATCCTGATATTTTCAACAAAACAGAGACAAAATCTTTAAACTACTTCACGCTAATGCAATACATTGTTAAACAATCACAAGTGGAGTAATTGCTTTGATGTGATTTTACAAATGTTCTCCACGCTAAAGTCAAAGACACAACCTACAGAACCTGACATTTGTTCAAAGAATGCATTATTTGCTTTCTTTATCAGAGTGAGATGTCTGTGTTTTGTGGTTTCACAGAGAGAAAAACATTTACTATTACTATATTTACTATTTACTATGTTACTATAAACTATTTCTTGATGATTAACCGTGTATCCAGTCACCTAGATACACGCGATTCGTGAAAATCAATTGGTCGGTGTTTGCCTTTCAGCATAACAACTGACCAGATCAAGGAAATTATTTTCTGTCGATGGGACAAAAACGTCATAAATAAAAGTTAATGTAATGTCATTTTAGCTCTCTGTCAGAGCTGTTTTTAAGTATTTTGGTCCAGGTCAAGTTTCAAGTCCAAAAGCACATTTTTCTGCTCTATCAGTGCAGAAAAACGAATATGAGTAAGTATGAATATTACAAGAGCACAATGGCCCAAAATCACATCCAATACTTATTTTTCAATGGAATGGCATTTAATGTCCATTTGCAAGTAGGGGTGTAACAAGATCTCTCGCCACGATATAAAACGTGACAATATTTCTCATTGAGGTAAAAGCTGTCTCAGTATATCAGAGCTGCTAATTCTCACGCATTAGACTCATGCAACTGACACTTTTCACACACTCTCACAACCACATCAATTTTCTCACGCAGAGAAAAACAAATTTATAACTGGTCGACTCATGGCGTAAATCATCTCCACCCAGCTCATGCAACACTGGCCTACACCATGATAGTAATCAGGTGGATCCCCTCTCGCACTGTGAGTTGCAGAGAGTGGTTACATAACTGGTAGAGTTTTGCAGCATAAAAATATAAAAACTGAAGCACAAACTTGCTCTGTTTGGGCTTTGAGCTGCACTTTATCGGAGGTGCTGAAGTTAAATTGTGTGTTGATTTGTGATGAGATTTATGCCAGATCTGAAGAGGTTTCAGTTAGTTTTGCTTTCCACCTCCTTATCTGGTTTTGATAAAATTGTGGGAGGGAAATGGGAGAAATTATCCCTCAAAATCAGTCTGGGGAGATGACTGAGACAGACTGAGACATAATAAACTCATCAATAGTACCTGGACAGACAGCTCTGTGTGTGTGTGTGTGTGTGTGTGTGTGTGTGTGGGTTGCTTGTAATTACATCATACAAGTGCAATTGCTTTGGTGACATGACGCAAGTTTTCTAAAGCGGGAAACCTAGCTTTGACTGACACTCACAGATACACACATTGTTGACACAGTGAAACATCTGGGATAATGTAAGTACAAAACTCAATAAAATATACAACGTAGGGCCAGTCATTTTTAGACATATTAATGTGGAAATGTTATATATTGTACCTTTAACATTTATCTAAATTAATACTGAAAACTGAACAATGTAAGCTTTGTAAAGCTAGATTTTAAAAGTAATTTCCTCAGGTTGGCTGATCGTTAAAATTACTTTTTTTGTTTGTGTTCTGAAACAGGTCTAGTGAATGTTATGGGTGGCACAGGTGGCACTCTGAAGGCCTTTGCAAGTGCAACAAAATACCGGCCATTAAAAAAATAAATACCACCTGATGTTTAGTCCAATATGTTTTAAATACCCAACACTTAATCTGCAATGTAACTAGCAACCACAGCAATCAGATAAAGTCTAATATTTCTCTGTGAGATGTACAGTCTCACAACATGAAAATACAACCCAAGAGAAAAGACTCAGTAAGAAACAGCGAGCTGATGTTACCTGGAAAACATGTCTGCAGGTGTTCAGTTAGGGCCTCCTGAGTGACAGGCTTATGGGCTGAGTTCATAGCAGAGATAGCCAATAGCAATACCTCTCCCAAAGGGATGAACTGCGATTGGCTGATGGGGGACATACTGATGGGTGACACATCACCTGTGAAAAGACAGAAATCAGTCACTTTGAGTTCTACAATACCATGCAGTCTGATGTCTCAAATCTGTCTAAGAAATATAAGAGTAAAACCCCTGGCTGCCCTGAGTGTCTGGCTGGGGACCTTTGTTGTATTTCATTCCCACTTAAGACAGTCAGTCCCCACAGACCCAAATCTTAAAATGGTCAACCTTTCAACAGAAAGAAACATGTTTACAGCCTGGTACAAAAAACGTTTAGGTCTTTATTTATATTTTTGCTAATCACGCTAGCTGGTTCAGCAGCCAGGCTTCATTCCGCCGCCTCAGGTCCATCTCTTTGCCCATTTTTGTATTAGCCAGAGTCTGGCACTGCCAAGATGGTGACAGCCGGAGCTGCTCACCTTGAGCTCTTCGGCTCTTGCTGGTGACGTCAGGGACACTACGTCCATGTTTTATACAGTCTGTTCACTCCCTCTCTCTCTCACACACACCGTGATGTATCTATGTCAGGTGTGTGTCAGGTGGTTTTGACTTGTTCATTTGCATCTGTGAAAAGGCTATCTCATACATAGAGTCTCCAAAAGTAGACTAGGAGCCAGAGCGTTCAGCTATCAAGCTCCTCTCCTGTGGAACCAGGTTCTGGATGTCACGACGGCTTCAGAGCATTGTTTGGAGAGAACCAGGCAGAGTGGGGGAAACTCAGGTGGCCGACAGGGGCTCTTGTGTCTATGAGCAAATTTTAGATAAAAATAGCTTTGTGAAACCGGCCCCAGGAGTAGTCTTGCTGAACTAATCTCATTCCATTCACAATGTGTTCTGCTGCATTTACAACTGTATTAACATCTCTTTTCTTTATCGAGATAAGATGTTAATACCAGGTGGAAATAGGGTTTAAGCGCGCAAAAGTTGTTGTCCCTTGCTCTGGCTTGTTGTTTGATGTTATTTTACAGTTAAGTTATTTCAATGTCCAACCCAACTGGTAAGTGGGACATCCCTGGGACGTCCTTGTCTCTGTCAGGTAGCTAAGTGTTCATGTGTGTGTTCTGTTGTAGGTGTCAGTAGGTGGGGTCGTCATCATCATGTATTGGAGCCACCTGGGGCCCAGTGTTCTCCATATATAAAGCAGATCCTACCTGTTGCACTTTGGGAGGGCTAGAGAGGAGGGAAACCCTGTTCCCTATGCTCCATGCTCCTCATTAGGGCCCGAGCACGAACCGTGCGAGGTCCCTATTGAAACTGTAAAGATTTTTTCTTTTTTCTGCAAAGTAAGCTCAATTTTTGGGGCCTGACATGACTGACCTACTGATTACCACACTTCATATGATTATTTGAATATTAAGTTGTTTGTTAGTTTAAAATAAAAGTAATGGTACCTTTCCTGCAGTTTGTGTCATTGTACTGTTAATTTTAGTCGCAGTTTTGAGCCAGCCGTGACAGTAAGAAAAATGCATTGTAAATTGACACTGTAAATGCATTTTCAATGAAGATGTTTGTAATGAATCAACCAAGTCCAACAGTTTTAAAGTATAGGCTCATCCCGCTCAGAACTGATGACCCTGTAACCCTGAGCCGGCTCCATACCGTTCTGAAAAAAGCTTTGAAAAAGCTAATAAGCAGACCTTTGAGTTAGGGCTGCAACGATTAGTCAACGTAATCGACAATGTTGATTATAAAAAAATCGTTGAAGTGAAATTTCATTGTCAACGCATCATCACAAAGAGGCTGTTTAAGGGAGAGATCTTCTTAGTAAGAACATTTCTGGTTGTTTATTTCTAACTGTAATGCACTACATGGAATGCTAGGGGCAGTATTGCTTCCTATGTCTGCTTGACTATAAAGGCCCATTTATACTCCTGCGTAGGGTCTACATGCGTACCTATGGCGTAGGGTACACATGTAGCCGTGCATTTATACTTGTGCGTCGGTGTGTCCGTCATTCTGCAATTACACCCCCAAACGCTAGTCAGCAGTAGCGCTGCAGCGTCCACTGTGTTGACTTTTGCCGGCCGAGCAGGCTAACTTCCGGTTTAGCGCTCCGCTAACGTAAATGGGGGTAAAATTGTGATAAAAATGTGCTGCTGGTGTAGCCTTTTCAAATGTTACCGACCAAATGGATCACATTCTGATAGTGAAACGAGTCATTTCGCTCGGGTTGCGACGGTCAAATATATTGATTCACTGTGTTCCAGCCGCCGTTTTGGCCGCTAGTAAATGTTACTTTAAAGCACGGGGTACTTCCGGTCGGCTCGGAGGCATTGCGAGGCTACCCAGCCAACCAATCACAGTGCTTACGGTCCGCGTCCACTCGACGTGTAGTTACATTTTGAAGGAGGTGCACGTCAGGCAACGGTAACCTAGCCGTCGATTTGATGCAGAAGTATAAATTGCACTTTAGACTCCTCACAAAGAAGAAGCATTCATCTGAGAAGCGGAAAGCAACGGAGAAAGAGGCTAACAGCAGAATCTTTTTTTACACGATTTCATCACTAAATACACTTTTGAGAGATTTTGAAGCGAGAAGTCAATTGTGTAGAACTTGAATATTGGCAGCTTTACGAAAGTTGATGGCGAATCAAAAATATACCCAAACGTTTTCGGGGTTGAGAAGCTCCACACGTGCCTGCGAGGTTAGCGGTGGCAGCGGGTCAGCCACCGTCACGCCCACAGTCCCAGTTACACAGACCACTGCAGCAGCAACAACAGAGCAGCAGAGGAAAGGCCACAACTGTGAGATAGTTTCAATGTTCATACCACTGGAATGTTTTAACATTTTAAAGTAAATTGAGAAACATCTGGCTCGTGATGTAGCTTACAGAACATTCTCCACTTAGAGCACTTTGGAAAAATAAACTACAGAAGTAGTAATGAAAGGGTGCTGTTGCTTTATTATTCTAAATAGACATTACAGTGTACAGTAGCCTACCCTGTCTTGTCTTCTTCCCTGGTTTCCCCCTGGCGTTGATACTGGTGTTCATTCTGAATAGTAAACCTCGTTCACTTAATGGTAATGTTAGCTAGTTAGGCTGTGTGTTGGAGAGCAGTAATTCACTTGAAAGATATTTAATTAGTTAAATGGTTTAATTAGGGTTAGGGGGTGGCAAAAGAAATTGTGACTAGTCAACTAATCGAATAAATAATTAACAGATTAGTCGACTATGAAAATAGTCATTAGTTGCAGCCATCTGCACTGAAATATAAAATGTTCTTTTATAGTAATTAATTTCAAAAGCAACCAGAAATCCCCAAAGACGTAAAAGTGAATCCTAAACATGAAATGCAATACAATTTGGCTCCTGGTGCCTGTTGTCTATTTCTGTAACATACAAATGATTCCTAATCACACCAAAGGTTAATATTGGGCACATTACAAAGACGTGGAGATTGGTGCAGACTTCTCCAGTCTTGTTTGTGTATCTGATATGAGTTTGTGGTTACACTACACAAAGGCATAGTAGCAAAGTATTCTTTTTTCCAGCAGAAATAAATTAGCAAAAATGAATTTACAGAGACAGATAAGAGAGACTGTGAAGATGGACAGAAGAGGACAGAGCACAGCTGCAGAGGCTCTGCTGAGAACACTGACCACCACCTGCCACGTCCATATACTGACAGCTGCAGGCATCAACATGTAACATGATCATAGGACAAACACACACACACACACACACACACACACACACACACACACATCGAGCGGGGGTGGGGGTGAAAAGCATGCATGTTTCAAAGAACAGCTGAGAGACCATTTCTTCTTGTGTCCTATAATGCCTTTACACTAAAGGGGCCAGTATACTCTGTCAGAAGTGCATGTCAGTGGGTTGAACAGCTTTAGAAACCTCTCCCCCTTAGGGTGCCTAGATGAGAATGGGTGACATTCTGGGCGTGGCTACTGGTAAATTGAGTGTCAATCAACATTAACACACGTGAAAATCAAAACACAACGCTAAAATTAATTATTTTTGTTCATGAAGTCACCTGTCTGTTATTAGGAAAAACACAACTGTGGATATGTAGGTAAGTCATGATCTTTTACCTAATTTTTATATTTATTTTATTCATGTCATCAGTGCAGTGTCACATCTGTCTGCGCAACGCACGTGTCAGATCTCTCCGCTGTGGCTGCCTGAAGCTTCACTTTCTCTGTCCTCGCGACTTTAACTTCCACTAACCACAAGAAAACAAAGAGGGGAAAAGAGCACGACGAGTGTTACTTTGTGGCTATAACAACGCTGTTGACACAATGTACAGATAACCTGCAATTCCTGCTGGAGCAAGAGAACTATATAAAGATCAGTATTTAATGTTTAATTAGGCTATGATCAAAACTTGTGTTAGGTCTAATTTTCAGGACAAATCGGAAAGGGGTCGGGACAGCTGCTCGCAATTCAGGACTGTCCCAGATTTTTCGGGACGTCTGGTCACCCTACTCCCCCTACACCTTTCCAATGCCAGATTGAAGGGGGGGGGGGGGCATTTCTGTAACTTTACATCTGACTATCTGGCATTCACACCAACTTTACGCCGTGACTGGCCAGCTGTGCTGAGGTGTGAAAGGAGCCAGGGCCACACACACACACACACACACACACAGAATGAGTCCAGTGTAGTATAAAGTAATATACAGTAGACTTACACACATATATATACTGTATACGTTTACAGTATATATGTCCAAAGGAGACAATGGAGAGGGAAGTACAATATTAAGATTAAAGATTAAATGTCCATATGTGTTCTTTTTTTAAATTTGATCTTCAAGTGATTGGTGATCTATGAGGTCAGTCCAGAAACAGTCTGATGTTCAGACTACAAGGTCTGATACAATGTCTCATCTTCTCTGTCTGCTACAGTCATTAGTACTAATACTGCTGATGGCACTGCTGTTACTGCTACTACTACTTACTTCTCGGTCTCTGTCTACTACATCATTGGTACTAGAATTAGTAGCTACTATTTATTCTTTTACTTGCTGTTGCAATTATTGATACTACAGCTACCGATATTATTACTAAAAATGCTACA